GACCATCCCTCGTGGGCTCCCATCTCCTCTACCTTCTGGGCCCTTAGTGCCTCCCCCACTAGTCTCAAAAGCTCATTGAAGTTGGCCCTTCTGAAGTCAAGGGCTTTAGCCTTGGTGTGAGACCTAGACGCCCTGCGCTGGATAGTGAAATCCAGCAGGTGATGATCGCTATTGCCCAGGTGGTCAAGGACCTGCAGTCCCCTCACCATGTCATCCCCCGCGGCCAGGACCTGGTCCAGCAAGGCATTACCCCTAGTGGGGCTGTGCACTTCCTGGATAAGGTGAAAGTCCTGTAATACAGCCAGGAACCTACGTGAGCGGTCAGACCTGGCTGTCTGCTCCTCCCAGCAAATGTCTGGGTAGTTTAGGTCACCCATGACAATAACATCCCTTGACCTAACCGCCTCCATAAGCTGACTGGAGAAGTCCTGGTCTAGCTCTTCCCTCTGGTTGGGTGGTCTGTAGTAGACACCCACCGTAAGGTCCCTTTTGCCACGCCCCCACACTTTTATATCCTCACACTGTAAAAACTCTGTTGCCAAATGTAATAGTATGAAGTGAATTTCAAGTACCTTAAAACATATAATAGTTACTTTTAGAAAAATTTAAGTGGCTATAGGGACAACCATCTCCTTATGTCAGGTATAACACTGATTATTGCATATCTCCATTCTATGTTCACTTCATCAAAACACCTTGGACAACTCATCACAGAACGCTAGTTCAATGTCTCCCATTTGCATTTCATTATAATAGTCTTTCAGGTGATCACAACAGTACTACTAGTAACTGATGGTGCACAGACCATAATTTTAATATTACATAACAAATTGTATGTTTGGCTCAAATTTGAGGAATAGATGTACAGATTCTAAACGTAAAGGTCTTTAATGTGACTCTTTCAATTATACTGAGATGTTGATTGGCTTGTTTAATTTGAGTCAAATAGGGTTATAATTATTTGTATTTCTGATGTATCTGATGTGACTTAAAATGTTATTCCTTGGAAGTGACTGAATAACAGTAAAAAGGTGTGCACTGTATCTGCCAAATAATTGTGAACCATTTCAAACCATCAGAGAACTTCATAGATTTTCTTCTTCTCTTCCCTTGTGTAAGTGCTTCATTTTG